TGCAGAAATGGCTGCTCAGGTCAGCTGTGTCCCCACTACCATCCCTGAAAGCAATTATCTAGCAAAACCACTTTTCCAAGGGGCCTGAAGGTGATTGCGATTATAAATGCTGGTCAATCAATAAAAGGGAAAGAAAACAAGCCATAACGAATCAGAACACTGGGCAGCTGGTTGAAGGATTGTATATACTTACTCTCCCTTTCTGGTTTAGCATTAGAAGCCCTCACTCTAGGGTTCAGGCATTAAATCCACAATCTGCTCTACAAGAGAAATATAAAGGGTTCTGCTTCCGTAAAGATTTACAGCCTTGGAAACCCTAAGGGGGACTTTTACTCTGTCCTAATTGTGCTGTGAAGAGTATTGAATATCTCAAAGATTGGTAAAACAACAAACATTCACTGAACATAATGCTCTATAGTCTCCCATATATAATATTTTTTTTTGTCCTTGTTTCATGCCATCAAGTCACCTAACTCATTGCAACCCTATATACAACAGCTCTGAAGCCCTCCCTATCCTGAGATAGTCTTACAGACTCTGACACATCTACCTGTGTCAATCCATCTCAACCAGGGTCTTCCTCTCCTGTACTGTTTTTCCACTCTTCCAAGCATGATGTTGATGGCCTTCTCTAAGTTTGTGAGATGGAGTTTCAAAATCCTTGCCTCCAAGAAGAAACTTGGTTTTACCCTTTCCAAGATAGAACTATTCCCCAGTGGTCCATGGTATGTTCAGTACTCTTCTCCAGCACCACAACTCAAAGACATTGATTCTTCTTCTGTCATTCTTAGTCATTGTCCAGTCCTCTGATGCAGAGTAATATAGTATTTTACAAAATCATTATTCCTTAGTGTTGTATAGTATTCCATCGTGGGAATGTAATGCAGTTTCTCAATCCCTTTGTTTGTTGATGGACATTTGGCTGTTTTAATTTTCTTGCTATTGTGAATAACACTGATATGAATGTAGATGTACATATCTCCATTCTTGTCTCAATTCTGAATTCCTTGGGGTATATTCCTGGGACTGAAATAGCTGGGTCAGTATTCAGGATATCAATGTTCAGCTTTTTGAGGATACACTAAACTGCTTTCCAGAATGGTTGTGCCATTTTACAGTCCTGCCAGCACTGCAAGAGTTCTAGTCTCTCCGTATCTTCTCCAGCATCCATTGCTTCTTGTCCTGTTAGGAAGGCTTACTTACTTGGTGGACAGTTTCTCTCATCACTCATGGCCTTGCCTAGTTCTTAATGTCCCTTCTTCCTCTGGCCCTCCTAACCAGGTCTGTGACACACCCGTCACTCCGGCGTGGCTGGCTGGTTCTGAGGATGTGCAGGGATGGCCTGGCAGGCGGGCTGGAGCTTTGCTGTGTGAGCTGGCCCCTTCCCGGGTTGTTCAGTGCACACCAGTGTCCTTGGGAAGGGCTGGAAGGTGCATTTCCACAATCAGTAGCATTTTGCTATCCTTGCCTCCAAAGAGTACCCTGGCTACACTTCTTCCGAGACCTATTTGTTTGCTCTTTTGGAGGTCTACGACATTGTTGTTTACAACCCATAGCTGACCCTCCAGCATGTTTTCAGAGTCAGTTAATCAATCAGGAGGAGATTGCCCACCTTTCTCCCGCAGAGCGTCTGGTGGAATCGAACTGTGTGCCTTTAGGATTGCAGCACAGTTTCTTACCACTAGGCCATCAGAGCTCCCTTATGGGATATGACTATCTACTTATTAAAGGTGTTGGAGATGTGGTGTCGGAGAAGGACACTGAATATCCCATGGATTAGGGGGAGGGGGCGAGTCAAGCAGATATGTCTCGGGGAAAGTTCAGCCAGAGTGCTCTTGAGAGGTAAAAATGGTGAAACCTAATCTCATTTGGGCATGTTGCTAGAAAAGGTTATTCTTTGAAAAGGGACATCATGGTTGGAAAGGTGGAGGGTGAGCAAAACAGAGGAAGCCCGCCAGATGGATTCTTAGCAGTGACTGCAGTGATGGGTTCAGATAGGCCAGATGAGGATGGCACAGTGGAGGACAGGTTTCAAACCTGCTCTTAATAGAGTCGCTATGAGTTGTACTCAGCTTGACGGCACCTAACACCACTACCAGCAATGGTTATCGTTAGATACTTGAGCTCATTGCTACAGACACTATGTTAGTTCATCTTGTTCAGGCAATCAACAGTAACAAAAACTAACATGCCCAAAGGATGGGAGATTAAGTTCCTCCATCCTTGCTTCTAAGGGGCACGCTGGCATATTAAGTTGGACAAGTATGTTTATCTTTCCTGAAGGTTCTCGTTACCAGTGTGGCAATTGCTTAGTCAAACTTGTGGAACCACCGGCCGCCTCACAGCACCTTGCTCAGCTTCCCCAGTACATCACGCCCTTTTCCTCTTCCATCTTCCCTTAAGCCACTGAGGCATGTGCTTGTTAACTTTAACCTGCGCTCAGCAAATGATTGGCATCGTGGCAACCCGATACACCAGGTCTAGTTACCCAGAAAGCTTGTCAAGCTGTTTAACCCAGAGCTTTTGAGAGATCTCATCATGGATGTGGGAATGTAGTGTGATCACCTAATGAAATCCCTCGACTTAGAGCTGGAGGAAGAGGACCCTGGAGAAGTGGTGTGTATGGACATGTCCAGCAGCTTGCTGGGCTTTTGTGTGCATGGATCCATTGTTTGCCTTAAACCGGCATACTTGTTTCCAGCTCCACTGTTTGGCGAAAGCCACAGGCTCAGGGTGATTAACTTGTCCGGGGTTGCCTGCTCCAAATTCACATTGAAGACTGTACAGCTTAGTGGCTGAGTCCCATCATCCCAGGGTTGAAGGTAGCCATCAAAAGACACACTCTCCGTGGGCATATGGACTTCCATTTCCTCACACAGAGAAGAGATGGACTGTACGGTGGACATTGCGTGCTTGTGGCCAGCGGTTGCCCCTGTTTGGCCACTGCAGGGTAGATGGTCAGTCTCCGGGCACCTCTCCTGTGCATCACTAGAGACCCCAGTCCCTCCCCGCCAGGGATGGATACAGAAGTGAGGTTGACAAGGGTCCATGTGGTGCCCATGCTAGTACAAAAGCAAAAGGCAGTTTTCTTGTGCTATTACCGGGGGAGAGAGAGTGGCCCATTCCTAGCCTCCTCGTTGGAAATGGTCTAGGCCCAGGGTCTCTGCTTAAGCACCCCGTTAGTAGGGGAAGAGGCAGCCTGCTTCCCCAATAAGTAAGATCTCTTGGGGCCAGACTGTCATTAGGTGTGAGTCAGAAAAGCCTGGGGACGTTCTTACCCTCTCTCTGCCTGCTCTTTCCTAAAACACAAGATCGAGTTATTAGGAGGATTAAGTCATTCCGCATGAAATACGAGCTCAGGTTCGATGCTCAGCTGCCTACCGCAGGTTAACAATTTGAAGCCACCAGTGGCTCGGTGGAAGGAGCTACGCACACACTCATCCCCATCAAATCAGAACCAACTCACAGCTGTTTCTGAGGCTGCAGACAGAATGGGAGGAGATTGCTCATCTCCCCACTGAACCACTGGTGGACTTGAGCCCCCAGAGGCGCTGCCTTTGAGTCAGCAGCACAACTCCCTAAATACGCAGCACCGGGCTGTGCTCCCCGTGTGCGGGGGAAGGACCCAGCATCTGCTGGCTCAAGGATTTCAGCACTGGAAGCCCTGTGGGGCCGGTCTACTCCCTCACACGGGGATTACTGTGAGTCACAGGACAGTCAAGTGCTCATCTTGCTGCCTGGCTCCTAGCAGTAAGCATTATGTAACCGTGCTTTACCGTGCTCCTTGGAGGCAAGGATGAGAAAGCGTCATCTCACATATTTCAGGCTTAACAGAGATGATGAGGAGTGCAGAGGTTAGGACACAGGTCAGAGCTGTTGTTCATAGGGTCAACTCTGTGGCATATAACAAATGTTCATACAGCAGCTCAGTTGTGTTCACCCACTTGAGAGGTGGTGCTTGCACCGGGCCCAGAGCTGGTGGGAAGGAAATGGGCAGTGTTTGTCTGCCTGGGGTCGTACTTCTGAACATCTCCAGTGACTTCAGGACGTGTGTGAGTATGTTCTCACTGCCTTTGTGTCTTCTGTCCCATTTTTCTTCCCTGTAACTGGAAGGAGTTGGTGACCCACTTGTTGTTTTTGAAGCAGGATGGTCTTGGATCCTTCACAAATTGGTTTTTGTTTGGTTTTGTTTTGCTGTGTTTTTGTTGTGTTTTTTTTTTTTTTTAATGTAGTGGCAGAGAGAGGAGAAATGGGCCCCCTAAGCATTGAACACTAGAGCTTGAAAGAATTTAGAAGATGTTCTTGGGGTGGCGGATTGGAAGTGTGGTTTGTTACATAGACGGCCCGCCTCCCCAGGTTTTTTCCGTATGGGGTTATTACTAAGGCCTCCAGCAGCGTGCTGTTTGAAGCAGAAGGTGCTTGAGAATTTGCTTTCAGGCTGTGTCGGGTCTCTCCCTCCCAAATATGAATTCTTTACTAAAAGACTGCTTTTCCCAAAGGATTAGCCATAATGCATACAACTGAAGTGCTTCATGGATTTCAAAGCGTGTTATCTCATTGAACAGTGACTTTGTGGTGCAGGCAGAGCAGATACCATGGTCTCCATATTACATAGGAAGAAATTTAAAACCAAAAAAAATTAAAGGTTGGGAGGATGCCTAAGGTCACACATCTGTGGCTAGAAATAAGTCTTATCACTCCTGCTAGCACAGATCCCCTTGTTTTTTTCAACCCTCAGTGAGGGACCTCCACTGTCAGTTTGTCATACTGTGGTGGCGTGTGTGTTGTGTGACGCTGTGAGCTCTGGCATAGTGATTGCGACAGGGAGCTTGGGCGTGGTGCTCAAGAGGGCAGAGTTTGAATCTGTCATAGATGGGGTCACTCCGAGTCACAGCTTGAGGGCACCTGACGACAAGAGCAGACGTAGCGGGTCATGTTTCCATGCTGATCAGTAGTAACGTTGCATATTTCTTTCTTCCAGGTCTTTTTGACTGTCTCAAATGGACGCTCAGGAATCGCCACAGGAGGTTGCCCTCATTACAGGAGGCAGCGGCTATGTTGGTTTCCGGTTGGTACATCTCAAAGATCTGTTCTTGGAGGTTCTGATTGTTATTGGCTGGTTTGGGGTTTTTTTGGTCTGATATGGAGGTTTTTTTATATTGTTTTTGGGGGGTTTTACTGACAGTTTCTGGGGAGATACAGCTCTCCACAAAGACATTAAGACAACCCAGACTTGATTTTGTGTAGTGTTAATCCAGAAGTCAGCTTTCTCACATACCTCTTTGGGCATTGAATTTAGGACCTAGAGCTGTATTCTGCTTAGAGAAAAAAAATCCTTATAAAGTCATTGAATTAGGACAAGGAGTGAATAGCTGTGTCACCTAAACCAATTTAAAATCAGAAAACTTTCTTTCAGTTATTACTCATTCCAGAGATAAAGGTGGTAGATCCTGGAACAGAGCGGGGGAAATAGTAGTATGTAGATATCCCTGTCTTTGAAGATAAAGCCCTTTAGATTATACTTCAGGGAGCTGTAGTGGCACAGTGGGTTACATGCTGGGCTGCTAATGGAAACGTTGGTGGTTCTAATCCATCATCGGCTCCCTGGGAGAAAGTCGAGGTCATGTGCTCCTGCTGGGGTTTAAAGCTTTGGAAACCCAATAGCAGGTCTCCGTTCTTCTGAATTCATTCAGCAGCACCAGGACCATGCGATTCTAAGTTAAGAAGATGCAAGCAATCTTTTCTTTGAAAATACTGCAGTTATAGTTACAGTCACTAGGTACAGCTCTGAGTCGGATTAACCCCACATGCAACAGCATGGAACAGTGTCCAGTCGCACGCTGCCCTCCCAGCGGCAGCTGGCTCGCGCCCATTGTCACCGCCGTGGTATTAGTTCCATCTCATGGAGGGTATTTTTGTTTGGTTTGCACTGCACTTGACCACACATGACAGCTTTCTCTAAGGATCGGTCCTCCTGTAGCATGTCCAAAGTATGTGAGACAAGGTCTCCCCATCCTCGCTTCCAAGGACTGGCCTACCTACCAGTGCTTCTTCCAGATGAAATGTGTTCTTTTATCTGGCAGTCTGTGATGTACTCGGTGTCCTTTACATCAGTTAGACAATGACTTAGAAAGTGAAGGTGTAAAGAGAGGGGCTCAGAATCAGCCAAGAAAACCAGGGTCACGGTCAAGACCCAGACCTGATGGAGCTGCTGCTTTGTCTCATTTCAGCCTCGCCTGTGCTCTGAGCCAGAAGGGAGTCCAGGTGATTCTGTTTGATATCAGCGGCCCCACGCAGACCCTTCCAGAAGGAGTCAGGTTCGTCTGTGGGGACATTCGCTACCTCTCTGATGTCGAGAAAGCTTTCCAGGATGTGGCGGTCACCTGTGTGTTCCACATTGCCTCGCATGGCATGTCGGGGCGGGAGCAGCTGGAGAGACGCCGGATCGAGGAGGTTAATGTGAAGGGCACGGACAACGTCCTCCAGGCCTGCCGCCATTGGGGCGTCCCAAGGCTGGTGTACACTAGCACGTACAATGTGGTGTTCGGAGGACAAGCCATCCAGAATGGAGACGAGTCCTTGCCTTACCTGCCCTCTCACCTCCACCCTGACCACTACTCCCGGACCAAGACAATTGCAGAGAAGAAGGTTCTGGAAGCCAATGGCACAGCTCTGGAAGGGAACGGTGGCGTTCTGAGAACTTGTGCCCTGAGGTCAGCTGGCATCTATGGGCCTGGGGAGCGGAGACACCTCCCAAGGGTCGTCAGCTACTTGGAGAGGGGGCTGTTCAAGTTCGTATTCGGAGACCCCAGAAGCCTGGTTGAATTTGTGCACGTGGATAACTTGGTCCAGGCCCACATTCTGGCCTCAGAAGCCCTGAAAGCCGACCGGGGCTACGTGGCCTCTGGGCAGCCCTACTTCATCTCCGACGGCAAGCCCGTGAACAACTTCGAGTTCTTCCGGCCCCTGGTCGAGGGCCTGGGCTACAAGTTCCCATCCACCCGCCTGCCGCTGTCCCTCATCTACAGCCTGGCCTTTCTGATGGAGATGGTCCACTTTGTCCTGGGCCGCCTGTACAACTTCCAGCCCTTCCTCACCCGCACCGAGGTTTACAAATCCGGGGTCACCCATTATTTCAGCCTAGACAAGGCCCGGAGGGAGCTGGGGTACGAGGCGCAGCCCTTCAGCCTCGAGGAGGTGGTGGAATGGTTCCGAGCCCGTGGCCACGGCCGACAGCCCCAGAGCCCTGCCTCCAGCTCTTTCGTCCGGGATGCCCTGCTGGCCGTCCTCCTGATCACCGCGGCCCTCCTGTGGCTGCCTCGGTCGGCTGTCCTCTCAGTGTAAGGGACAGTCACTCATCACACCTCAGAGATGGCTTCCCGAACCACCGGCTTTGATGTTTGTCAGTGGTGAGAACTGCCATCACACTTTTCCTCTGGGTTATTGCTGAAGAACGGGTTCTCAGACTAAATCTTCATTTCCTACCTTCTTACTAATCCCTGGGGTGGGGGAGCAGTGGGGGAACAAAGCGAAGGGGAGGTTGAAACGGCACTTCCTGTGCCCTTGTATCTCAGAGGGTGCAGGGGCAGCCTGAGAGCTAGGCTTAAGGTGAACACGGTGGCCTTGAATTTCCCCGAAGCCAAAAATGCACTTGTTTCCACACCAGAAACTATGCAGAGACTTAAAACGCACTAAAATCCAGCGGATACAGGGTTGGATGGCAGCGCACTCTAGGCTTGAAAGAGTGAGGAAGACCCCAAAGTGGGCCGGGGGGCATGAGGAGCAGTGCATCTTGGGAAGAAGGCTCCAGCTGCACAGGTTGGGGGCTGGTGGCGTGAGGCCTTCATGGTGCCTGGGCCCAGGTGCTGCCCTTAGCTGTCGACACGAGCCACCGCCGGGAGCCCCCCTCGCTGCATTCTTTTGAGGATTAAGACAAAGCAGACAAGATGCCACTCGGCACACACAAGCCTGTGTTGATGTTAGCGTCGTTTCTACCTTCCAGAGCGTTCTTGTCCAGCCTGCTGGCATGCCTTTGGCATGCCCCAGAGCCTACAGTTAGCGTGTCTGAACGTCCCCACTGCTGGCAAAGCTCATTCTCTCCAGATAGACTGAAGCTGGGGAAACACTCATGATGAAAGGACGTGATCAAGCTGGATTTGTTTTTCATCAAAAAGTGAAGCATAACTCTAAGCTAATTGGTTTATCTGCTTAGGAATTTGGCTCTCAGAAGGCACTGCCCGAAGAGGAATGTTGTGAACAATGGCGGGCTTGTCTAGCCACCCATGGAGGCACCATGAGAGACGTGCCAGCCACATTGTTGCATGGGACCCCAAGTTAGAGACAACAGAACCAACACATTCCATAGTTCCAGCCACAGAAAGGCTAGCATTGAAGAGGGGCGAGGAGGAGAGAGGGTGGTGGAAAGTCAGGATTGAGTTATTTACAGAGTAGTGCGAGAGATGGGTGCGAGATCACAGCCTCTGTTGAAGATTTCCCAGATGTTTGGAAAGAGCACTGAGCATAACAGTGGTGGACGCCCCTGCCCCATAACCAGGCATGTTCTTTGTGGTCTTCACCTTGGCAGAAGCCTTGAGAAGACTGCAGTTGGCCTCAGTTGGGAATTGAGAATGGCAGTGTTTGCCCTGTCCCAGAGTCTTTTGTGACCTTAAATATAATGTAGTGGAAGTACTTGCAATGCCTAACTCGTGACATAAGCATGAGTGATGGCAGCAGTGGTAGTTTTCAGTGAACTCTTGCTGGAGACTTATAAAGAAAGAGATACGTTTGATGCTGGAATTCACTTGGTGAGTCCCTAAGCCTTCCTGGCATGCCGAGTATGCTCAAGCAGGTGACCACAGGTTTTCAGGCCAACCGTGGCCTGACACATGCGGGAGAGAAGCTGTACCACATGAGTGCACTAAGACGTATCCATTGCCACTGAGGGAGATCACAGACTTCTCCAAAGTAATATTTGTAAGAAAATACCAAAGAGTAATATATACCATGTATCCTTCAGTGTTTCCTTAAGCACAGTAGGTTGAGAGCACACTTTGTTCCCCCATCGTCAAGATGTATACTTGAAATTCAGGATCGGTTGTGGGTGTTGTCGTTGCCTTGGTATGAGACATGTTTTACCATTCCACAGGGTTTGGCAGTTTTTCAATCCCTCCTTGAAACATAGCAGTATAGCTTGGAGATAAGGCTTCGGTCCCAGACCAAAAACACTTGCAATAAAGCACGTGTTGCACTAAAACAAGTCACATGAACTTTCATGTTTCCCAGTGCTTACAAAAGTTAGGTGTATGCTATGCCATAGTCTAATAAATGTGCAGTGACACGAAAAAGCTTGAAATACTGTGAGAATGACCAAAATGTGACCTGGAGAAGCCAGGTGAGCTTGTGATGTTGGAAAAAAACAGCACCCACAGATTCACTCAACATAAAGTTGCCTGAAACTTCTGCTTTGTAAAAATCTCAGTATCTGCAAAGTGCAATAAAGCAAAGCATCATAAAATGAAGTCGGCTTGTGATTCATTGCCTTTACGTGATCTCACTCTCCTCTATTAGTTCCTCTGTGACTAGGTACCAAATTACCTCACAACATTTTCACTTAAAACAACTAACCTTAAAAAACTAGGTAGTTTCCTCGGTCCTGGAATTGGGGCTTGACTTGGCTGGGCCCTTCTTGCGCGGTGTCTCGTCAGACTCATGTGATACTGGCCAGGGCTACAGTCATGACAGGCTAGCCAGGTTGTAGGACCCACTTCCAGGAGGTCTCATCTATGCTGTTGGTGGCGGCGGCCTCACTCCCACCGTGGGGCATCTCCCTAAGGCTGTTTCCCCAGAGCGGGACATCCCACCATCCAGTATGGTGGGAGCTGCCATGATCTTTCATGACATTCCCAGAAGTTACACACTGTCCTTCCACTGAATTACAGGGTTACACAGGTCAGCCCAACTTGGGTGAGAAGAAGCAGTGCAAAGGTGTGGCTGTCAGAAGGTGGGGGTCATTGAGGGCCATTTTGGAGCTTGACCACCATAGGCGGTCCTTTGGGCTCTTATTTCACCCTCTGGATATTGTCTCCCATGAAAGGTGCCCCTGTAAGCAGCTGCATGGTTGCTAGAAGAATTCTGGGACACTGCAGGGCCCTTTGACCTTACACTGACTCCCTTTTAGACCAGAGGGCTCTGGTGGTCTAGCCCATAGGGGGCTGTGCTGCCGACCCAGACACTGGATACCAGTCGGGCAGTGTGAAACGACTAAATCTCCATGGGCTAGATGACTTGTCTCCTCCTCCTCTCCAGTCTGCAGCCTCAGAAACCCAGTGAGGGGTCAACTCTGAGCCAGTCCTCAACAGCAATGAGTTTTTTGAGTCTGCAGTCCAGTTTTTACAATCTTTTTTTTTTAATTTATTTTATTTTTTTTGTGTTTATTGTCAAATCAGATCTGACTGGTACAGGAGGAGATTGTTCCTCCTTCTCCAGCAGAGCATCTGGTGGATTCGAACCGTGCACCTTAGTTTTTACAATCTTGTCTCGTGAATATGACTGTGCTTCCTTCCATTCAACTAAAACCACCCCACAGACATCTTGGAGATGTGCCTATCTCTACCTTGAACTTCTGCAGAGATCACTGAGGGACAATAGCCTTATGGTTTTTAGAGCCTCAGAGCCCCTGTTCTGATTTTCCCACCCCCAGCACATCCAGTAACATTTTCACATCATCATGTTAGCTACACAGGTGACCTAGGCCCTGTGGGAGGAGAGACGCGACATGAACCGGAGAGTGGTCATCACAGGCCATGCTGAGGCTGATTCCCAAAGTCCTCCATCTCTTCATTCATTTTCTTACCACTCCCCCATCCCCATCCAGTCTTAAGTGGTAGATTTAGCCAGTGCTCATCACTGGCCCTTCCTCCAATACTATACTTTCCCTTTAAATGATCTCATCCAATCCCATGACTTCAATGTCCATCTATATCCCAAATGCATATTCCTAAATTCACAGTCCCAGCTCAGGCCATTTTTCTGAGTTCCTGATCCTCCTATCCACTTACTTCTGCATGTCTGCCTGGAGACCCTATGGGTACCTCTCTGTCAACATGGCTAAAACACAGTTCACAACCCACCCCTCAAACTGATAGGGCTTCTTACTGAATTCCCCCAATATCCATTGACCTCTTGAAGTTATCTTTGACTCCTCTTCCACTTAACACACCATTTTAAGTCCATTGATTTTCATCTTCAGGACATGCTTAACATTTGCCCAAGTGTCCATATGTAACCTGTCAGAGCCACCATTCTCTAGACTAATCCTCTATTAACTATTGGACTTTTTTTCTCTCTCCCTCTTCACCTACACCCACTCCTCCACTCTTGCCTGTGTATGTCAAGCAGAAGGAACCCATAACAGTGTAATCTGGTGTGTGACTTCCAACCCCAATACTTTGGTTGAGGACCCTCAATATGACTCTCTAGCGGTCTTAACTGCTTTAGCCCCTGCCTGCCTCTCCAGCCTCATCTCACACCATATTCCGTTCAAACTACACCAAGGTGGTTTGGTTTTTTGTTTTTTGTTTTTTTTTTGCGGTCCTTGAGTTCCAAGTTGCTCATAGCCTTGACCTTTCTCATCCCATTCAACTTTTATTTTTATTATTAATCTCCATGCCTGATCACACCTCATTTTCATTGTCATCTTCTGTTTGATTTGTTACAAGCTTGCTCGCGCTCTCTCTCTCTCGATTGCTCTCTCTCCTTCTCCCTCTCTCCTTCTCTCTCTTTATCTCTCCCTCTCTCCTGTCTTCTTTTTCCTCTTTTCTTCCTTCCCCTCTCTCCCTTCCTCCCTCTTCCCCCCCCTACACACACATTGCCGTTGAATTGGACCAACTCAGATGACCCTCCCATGGGTTTCCAAGACTATAAATCACGTGGGAGGAGGTTGCCTATCTTTCTTCCCTAGAGATGATGGTGGATTTGAACCACCAGAGAGAGACAGCCCAACCCCTCATAGTATCCTGATTTTCTTGTATAATATGAATTACAACTGTAATGCTTAGTGTCATAGTTTTAATTACTGTAAGCTTGACCAGGGCAGGAACCATGCCTACCACAGAGCAAGAGCGTGATCAATACTGTTCAGTGAATGCGGTGGTTTCCATGTTCTGGTGATTAACACTCGTTTCTAGGACATAAATTGTTTGCTCTTTGCAATATATTGAATGCTGAAAAAATTAGTAAAGCCTCATGCTTGGAAGGGTAGAGAGTCAGCGCAGGAGAAGAGGACCCTAGAAGAGATAGGTTGACACAGTGACTGACAGTAGGTGCAGGTGTGTCAGAGACAGGTT